TGAAGTGACTCTTGCTCTTGTGTTTCCCCTGGTTTCCAGGTTATTGACGCCACCTCCTTAGGCTGGGGCACCAGAGTGAAAGGCTTCATCGCTTGTTTTGCGATAGGATGCCTGTGCTCGCTCTTGGTAAGGACTTTCTGACAGATTTCCCTGATGTTTGGGTTTCAGGAGCCCCAGTAGTTACAGCCTTGCTGTATGCTGTTGCTTGGTTTTAATTTATTTTAGAGTCTCTGGGAAGGCATCTGCCTCAGTTCCAGTTAGGTGCAATACACTAGCTCTAAACAAGAATGACAATAAATGCAATTTACTTTTGTGGGTGTCTAATTCTTCAGTTTGAGTTTAAGATTTCCTAAGACTTCTTTTGTGTTGTGACATTTCTTGGATCTATTTCCTTTGCAATTTAAAAACAATATTTCCCCCACCCCCTTTCTCTCTCTCTCTAAATGTTCCTTTTTAGGGTAGTTGTCTGCTATGGGTACCAAGGAAAGGGCTGGTGCTCTTTGCAGTGTTTTATACACTGGGGAATATCGCATCTATTGGCAGGGAACAATCTTTATATATATTCCTTAATAAAGATGAGAAACTAAAGCAGAATGATAGGTTAAGGTACAGGAGAAACTGTTGCATTTATATGAGAAGATTTGGTTATGTAGATTGTTCTCTTGTTGCTGAATTTTAAAGAACAGCTTTTCCCCAGTAATACCCTGAAATGGTAAAGAAAATTATTTTTTGTTGTCATTAGCAGTGCATTCAAGGTAAAAGCTACTCATTAGTAAAGAAGAATCAAACTCGTGCTTTGAGCATTGATGTTTTTTGATTGTGTTGGTTCCCATTCATTCCCATCCCCCCAAGATAAAAATCATTCTTTGCCATTTTGCATTTGGCGCAGTCTGTCTGTCAGGGTTGGGCTGTTTGATAAGCCTTTGTGGCCATTCAGTTTCCTGAAGTGTAGCCCCACTGACTGTGACAGACACAACCTTCTGTAATTGAGGAAACTTAACAAGATGTTAGAAAGCACAAGGAATGTAATTGGAAATAAAATAGTAATGAGAGAGAATAGTATATGAGGCAGAAATATCACCATAGATGGGACTTTCACTTTGTATAATTCATGCAGTATCAATGACTGGGGCTCTAAACGAGGGTTACAGATCTGGTAAGGGATCAGAGCATGGATCCAGGCCTGAAAACAGCCCTTTATGTGGAGGAATTGAGCTGGATTACCTGGCAATCTATGCAGAGCCTCTATGGCTGGAGTTTCTGAAGAGCATTTTACAAAAGCATCTGTCAAGAATGATCTAATTGAAGCTGACCTTGACCTATGCTTCTAGCTTGATAGTTCTGCTCTGCTTATGTTAACTGTAACTGAACAAGTGTGAATAAAAACATAGAACAAATACCTTGCACAAAGAAAAGCAGGAACGAATTTTGTCTCACTGTATATCCTGTTTCTTTTGTTGTGCAGCACTGATGGCCGTAACAACATAGTGTACTAATGCCCCACATGACAGCAGAAAATTTAACAAAATAACCCCCCTTAATGAGGAATCCTACCTAGTTTCACTCTTACCTTTCTGTGTTCACCTTATTTTGTTTTTCACAGCACTCTTTTTCTTATGGGACCAATGAAACAATTGAAAAGGATGTTTGAGCCTACACGGTTGATTGCTACTATTGTTATGCTAGTAAGTATCAAAGGAATCAGTTTTAACTCATGCTAACCTGTAAACAATTTCCATTGTAAAGTCCTTTCATATACATTGATCTATGTCTCTAGATGTGTTTGTGAGTGGGTTTTTTGTTTTTTGTTTTTCCTTAAAACATCAAACATCCTGCGCACCTACTGCAGTGGAAAGGTACGTGTAGCCCCAGAAAACCACCTTCCTATTCTGAACGACTGAGCTGAAGCCAGGTTGTTATGCTAAATGAGCATTAAGGGTCTGTGGCTGGCGTGTGTGAACCATGCACGCGGTTTTTTAGGGTGCTTGAGGTCACAGCATCCTGTTTTTATGTTGCTTAAAAGATGAAAGATGGGAAACTAGTTTTTGAAAAGTTGTGCTATGAAAGTTGTTAGTCTGTTTTGCATAATTCTGTCTTTTTATATTCTATCTGATTTGTTTTAAAGAGCTGGGTAGGTATTTCTACCTCAATAAAATTGTCATTTCCTGACAAAACAACTGGGGAATCTTTATGCCTTGGTCATCTTGCATTAAAAACACAGAAATCATCCCAGTTCACTGATAGCTTCAGGTTTTGAAACTCGTATGACACAATGGAATTGCAGCTTCAACATTCAGCTGAACTCGGCACTTGGAGTTGTTTTTTATCTTCAGAAGATGGGAATTGTGGCCAACCTTCTACTGGTGGGGCTGTGTGTAAAAATTGCTGCTAAGTTTCAGACTCTTTATTGTTTAAAATGCAAATGGTTTTTTTTGTTTCTTCAACTTTCCCATTTTCTCTTGGAGAGTCTAATATCTGGAAGGCGATTTAACTTGCATGAAACCTATTGCGTGGTGTGTTTGTTTTCTATGCATTTAGGATACCTGGAGGCAGGAGAATGTTTGGAATGTTGTTCATTGGAATAAAGCCAGTTGTTAGATGTATGATGTAGTATTTAGACCAATATGCAAATCACCACCTTAAAACTAATGGAAAAAATACATTTAATGTCAATAATCATGGTTGAGGTGAAGTGTATGATTTCTCTGGCAATGCATGTGTTACTGTCTTGAATATGCAGTACTAAATAGCTTTTTTTTTTTCTCAAGCAAAAAAATTGCATTATAATCTCTAGTAGCACAATGGGACTTGTATATCCAAATGCTGTTAGATGTTGATGAAGGAAGATCAAGTCTGTCATAGCTGAATGAGCTGTTGTGTCTTAAATTGAAAATTAAAACTTGAACTAAAAGGAGGCTCCTGTTAAAATTGAGGGTTAAAACAGAAAATAATCTGAAGTGGCCTGCTACCCCCCAAGATTTTAACTGTAGTAAAGACACAGTGCAACTCTAAACAAAGAAGAAGTGCCAGTTTGAATGGCTGTGCTGAACTTTGTATTAATCAGGAGAGCTGCTAAGCAATAATTGGAAGTTCTTGAAAGTGTATTGTAGTTTTAATTGGTAAGAATTAAGTAATGACACAACTTCAGCTCCATGGTAACCTTGAGTATCAACAGAAAATGTGACATGTACAGAAGCAAAAAGTCTAGAGTTGTAACTGAAAAGTCTTACTTATGCAAAACAATAAAGCATGGTATATACCTATGACACCAAGAAGTGTGTGTGATGACGTAGGAACCTCTGTTGCAAAAGAGCTGTAGGAACCCCTTCTTGTTCCTTTGCAGCCATTATTTTCTGGATAATATTTGGGCTGATATTTCTTCATTGCTTTAATTAACTTCAGAAATGTAATAGTGAGAGCATTTTAAATATGGGGAACTCTTATGCAGGGTTGGATAAAACTATGAAATGGTGTAATCTGTTTCTGTCTCTGAGGGAACCCATTGTGGTACTACAATATCTGTAAAAAATTGAGTTGTTTCTATGTTTAATAGAAATTGTTTGTTTTCTTCTAGTCGTGTCTCGTACTAACACTGTGTTCTGCTTTCTGGGTGAGTACTTGAGTCCTATATGTATATATAACTGGAGTATATTTTAAAAATAAGATGCTTGCATTGCTGTCTCATTGTACTATGTTCCCCCCTTGCCCCTTCTCTCTTCCTCCAGTGGCGTAAGGAAGGACTCGCGCTCCTTTTCTGCATCTTACAGTTTTTTGCCTTGGCATGGTAAGTGATTTCTTCC